TCTCCCTCTCCCACTCCCCCTGCTTGTGTTCCCTCTCTCGCTGTGTCTCTCTCTGTCAAATAAATAAATAAAATCTTAAAAAAAAAAAAAACATGAGGATGCATCTTTTAAAAGCAAGGATGGCTTTTAAGGGGTGCCTGGGTGGCTCAGTCGTTAAGTGACTGCCTTCCGCTCAGGTCATGATCCCAGGGTCCTGGGATTGAGGCCCACATCGGGCTCCCTGCTCCATGGGGAGCCTGCTTCTCCCTCTCTCACTCCCCCTGCTTATGTTCCCTCTCTTGCTGTGTCTCCCTTTGTCAAATAAATGAGTAAAATCTTAAAAAACAAAAAAACCTTCCCTTTAAAAAATAAATAAATAAAAGAAAGGATGAGGGGAGCCTGGGTGGCTCAGTCGGTTGAGGTCCGACTCTTGATTTCAGCTCAGGTCATGGTCTCAGGGTTGTGAGATGGAGCCCCATGTTGAGCTCTGTACTCAGTGGGGAGTCTGCTTGAGATTCTCTCCCTCTTCCTCTGCCCCTCTTCCTGCTTGTGTGCTCTCTCTCTCTAAAACAAATAAATAAATCTTTTTTTTAAATTTTTTTTTAAGATTTTGTTTATTTGCGAGAGAGAGAATGAGAGACAGAGAGCATGAGAGGGAGGAGGGTCAGAGGGAGAAGCAGACAGGGAGCCTGATGTGGGACTCGATCCTGGGACTCCAGGATCATGACCTGAGCCGAAGGCAGTCGCTTAACCAACTGAGCCACCCAGGCACCCCTAAAACAAATAAATAAATCTTTAAAAACAACAGCAACAACAAGGATGGGGCACCTGGGTGGCTCAGACAGTTAAGCATCCAACTCTCAATCTCAGCTCAGGTCTTGGTCTCAGCGTTGTGAGTTTGAGCCCCATGCTGGGCTCCACACCCAAAATAAAAAACAAACCAAGGATGGTTTCCTAGTTGCCTGTCCTCTGAAGCTTCCTCACTCCTTAGCATGCCTGGTCCCCATCCCCAAGTCACCAGCTATCCACAAATGGGCCCTGACAGCTGATTTGTCTCTGCCAGGAACCCTTTCAGAACTGCTCAGGTTCCTTGCTCCCTGTTGATCCAGAAGTTCCAAGACATTTTGCTCAATTCAAAATAAAAACTTGGGGCGCCTGGGTGGCTCAGTTGGCTAAGTGGCTGTCTTCAGCTTGGGTCATGATCCCAGGGTCCTGGGATTGAGCCCCACATCGGGCTATCTGCTTAGCGGGGAGCCTGCTTCTCCTCCTCCCTCTCCATCTTCCTGCCACTCCACCTGCTTGTGCTCTCTCTCTGTCAAATAAATAAATAAAATCTTAAAAAAAAAAAACAAAAAACAAACTTGTACCCATTGGCAGTAACTCCTCATTTCCCTCTTCCCCCAGTCCCTGACAACCAATAATCTACTTTCTGTCTCTATGAGTTTGCATATTTTGGATATTTCATATAAATGGAATCATAATGTATGGTCTTTTGTGTCTGATTTCTTTCAATTGGTGTAATGTTTTCAGGTTCATCTATGTTGTAGTACGTATCAGTTCATTTCTTTTTATGGCCGAATAAGGCTCCATTGTATGGAAATACCACATTTATTTATCTAGTCATCAATTGATGGACATTGGGTTGTTTCCACCTTTGGCTACTGTGAATAGTATTGCTATAAATTCCTGTACCAGGATTTGTTTGAACACTTGTTCTCAATTCAATACCTATACTTTTTTTAAAGATTTTATTTATTTGACAGAGAGAGAGCACAAGCAGCGAGAGAAGCAGGTTCCCCACTGAGCAGAGAGCCTGACGTGGGACTCAGTCCCAGGACCCTGGGATCATGACCCGAGCTGAAGGCAGAGGCTTAACCCACTGAGCCACCCAGGTGTCCCTAAAGTAAATAAATCTTAAAAAAAAAAAAAAGGATTGAAACAAACATGAAAAAAAACCTCTGGTGCCCTCATAATTACTTTCCAGCAATTAAGCTTTGACTGTAATTGCCTGTGAGGGTAGGTAGGAAGCAAGGATCTCCTTGCCTAGCCCCCCACCAGGACCCTCTGTCCTCTTCTAGCCTCTGGGTTCCTCACCTGGGTCCACCACCAGCAGCCGAGCCCCAGAGCTCAGCACTGAGTGCACCAGGGGTGCTCCCCGGCCATGCGGATTGATCCAGGCCACGGGGCAGCCCAGCTTGGCCAATCCCAGCCACAAACCCAAGGCCGGAATGGTCTGGGCGTCCAGCACCAGGAGGGCAGCCGACTCCCCGCCAAGCAAGCCTGTGAGGCCGCCCAGCTCGGCCTTCAGGGCCCACACTGCCTGGCATGCCCTGTCGTCCAGCTCCCTGAAGGTGACTGAGCGGCTCCCTGGCCCCTTCCACACCAAGGGCGTGCGACCCGGCTGTGCTCGTGCTCGTCGCTCGAAGGTATCCACAAAGGTGTCGGGCGGGTGGCGTCTCATGCGCACTCTGACAACCAGGCCCAGGCGGAGGATCCTGGCAATATAGGCCATATCTGCAGGCAGCCAGCGCAGCCCTGGGGGCGGCCGTGCGGGCAGCAGAGCCAGTGTGAGCGCCGCGGCTGCCAGACTCAGCCAGTGGGGCATCCAGGGCCAGAGCCAGGGCTGCGCCAGCAGGGCCAGGCCAAGCAGCACGCAGAAGATGGAGTCTCCCAGGAGCCAGCGCAGTGCCAGGGCCACAGCCGCAGGCCACGGGGGCTGCCCCAGAGCCCACAGCACCAACAGTAACAAGGCTAGTCGCAGCCAGATGCCCATGGCGCCCGCTCCCTCCTCAGAGAAGTGTCCACAGACTGCTAGTAACTTCTGCCAGGGGCTGCCTGGCCCAGATCTCTGACCCCTTAGTCCCGCCCCCACCCCCACCCCCTGACAGTGGCCCTGGAGGTGTTGACAGCAAGGCTTCTGGCCTCAGGACTCCACCCCCCAGCCCTTTTTAACCCGACTTGTTTCGCTGTGCCTACCTCTAGCCAGGTATGTGCCTGGCACTCCGCAAATAGTTGAAGGAACAAAATCAGTGCCTAAATTCAAACCCAGTTCTGATATCCCCACCCCCTCCCATATGCTGGGCTGAGTCTGCCCCACCCCCTGGCATCCATGGGGTTCAGGAGGCTAAACTCCCCCCGCCCAGAACGTGGGCAATGGTTGGACCGGAAAGCCTTAGCCCTTCACCTCTGGGAGGCAGTCACAGAGGGGGAGCTCAGAGAGGCGGTGCCATTGACCTGGGAGCCCGCAGGTCTTCAGTTCAAACCCCTCTCCTCCTGCTCCAAATCCTTAAGACAGGATGCCCAGGGTCAGGTGCCGCCAATGCTCTGGAAGCAGAAGAGTGGCTGCTTTCTGGGCTGGCAGCCGAACTGATGCGGAGTCTCGTGACACTGGTTTGCTACGAGGGATCAGTACCTTCAGCCCCCTGGTTAGCAGCCCAGGGGTCCTGGCTGCTTCTCCCCTTTTGCCCCACCCCCCGCCTTACACTTCAGAACTTACCCGCCAGGGTAGGCATCCTGGAGCTCAGATCCCCACATGGCAGCCTGGCCTCAAAGACTCCCTGGACACCTTCCCCACCACCCCAAAGTAAGGTGCTCAACCATCATGCCCATCAGGTTGGGGGAGGGGAAGCCTAGAGTCCAAAGGGCCTTGAGATTCCAGCGGGAAGGGCCTCGAAGTCTGCATCTTTCCCACATATGGCTTCTTTCTTCTAGATGCACCTCAGGGCTGGCCTGTACCTCTCCCCATAGGACGAAGGGCTCTAGAAGAGTCAAGTGCCAGTCATATGTGCATCCCACTTCCTCCTGGAGAACAGAGGCATGAGCGGCCAAGTGGATCATCCTGTCTCTGCCCAGGGAGCCTGGGAGGTTAGGGTTAGCTGCCCAGGGACGGGGGCACTGAGCCCCGAGGCCCACAACCAGTCTGTGATGATGAGAAATGCACGGGTCTGGGAGCTCACAGCTTCCGAGTTTGGAACCCATGGCCCCAGTATTTTATTAGAGAGTGGGAGTCCCAAGGCCCTGTCCCAGTCCATGATGGGTCCACCTGAGCCCCCTAGACGCCAGACTGAGGAAGGGGTACGGTGGGGAGCCAGGGATCATGCCCAGCTCGACACTGGGGCAGAGGAGCAGCTCCAGAACCCACCCCACTCAAGCCACAAATCTTGGGCCTGGCCCAAGGGTCTCTGAGTTTAGACTGGAGATGATCCAGTTCTCAGGGGTGGTCGGGTCCCTGACCAAACCCAGCCCCAGCCTGCCACCGTCAGGAGGGTCTAAGTACGAGGGAGGAGAGGAGTAAGGCAGGCCGGACCCCTGGTCAGGTCTGGGGGAAAGGGTGGAAGCAGAGGGAAGGCCTGCGCTCTGGGGAAAGTGTGGTTTGGTGGTGGGAATGTGGTCCGGGCGTCTAGGCAGGGATGTTACCGGTCCCGCGGTGGTTGTGGCCTAGTTCCACGGGACGTCCCTAACCCGGCAGAGGGTGGCCTACTGCGCGGGATCGTGGTCAATCCTGTGGTGGGCGTAGCCAGGCCCAGAACTGGATCAGGGCGCAGGGTGCGCGGCCAGGTGGCGCTCGAGCAGCGCGCGGTGTGAGAAGACCTTGCCGCAGGCGGGGCAGGGCGCGCGCTCGGGCCGGTGCGTGCGCATGTGCACGTTGAGTGAGCTCTTCTGCGTGAAGCGCTTGGCGCAGACAGCGCACTGGAAGGCGCGCACGCCTGTGTGTGTGACCATATGCTTCAGCAGGTAGTCGCGCAGTGAGAAAGATCGCCAGCACACGGCGCATTGGTGGGGCTTCTCCCCTGTGGGCGACAGGGCGTGCCGCGCACGTATGTCAGCTGGGAAGGGGCCCCGCCCCGGGAATCTTTGTCTGGCAGGGACTCCCCTCTCCTCCCGGGCTGCCCATCAACCCGGAATCCCCCTGTCCATTAGGGACACTCCCTTCCCTCCCGGACCTTCCTGCCCAGCAGGGACACCGCGCCCCCCCCCC